GATAGCAAACCACTCAATAAAACTGTCAGCTGAGTATGATGTGGCAATGAAACTGACTCTTTGCTTGAAGGTATTGGGAAAGGGAGTGAAAATAAAACTGAGAATAATATAATACATCTATAGTGCAGTTTCTAGAATGGTAACTGTGTTGGCCTGTTGCAGCAAAAACAACCGGGAGTTGCATTTCACCCTACAAAATAGCAGTTCCGTTGTAGCAGGGGCTATGATCCATGATAGATTAGTTTATCATAAATGTTTGGCTTAAAAATATTGGGAATTCTTTGTGGTGGTAGTGGTGATGGTGGTTTTAATCTCTGGTGCAGTGCTTTTGGGGTACTGTGCATCGACCTGGACTGGCATCACATTCATCCCCAGAATTGTATAGAGACATGGTTCCCCACCTTTGGTCCCCTAATACTGAGCCACAATATCATTGGTGGAAAGTTAATCAATGGTTTTGCCAACCCCCTGTAGTGTTTTCTCTGCCTAATTTCCCAGAATCCCTCTTTCTACTTCACACAAAGTTGTGGTAGTGCCTTAACAAATTGTATTACAAGGCATATGGTTTCATGAGTTGTAGCTCACTTCATCAGATACAGTGAGATGGAATCCCTACCAAATAGTGATAGTGATCAAAAAGGGTTATTGCTTCAAACTTTATTTGTAGGCCCCCTCCTGACAAGGCAGGGGTTCTTTTGCTGTCCTTTAATAGATATAAAACCAATCCACCCATCCACCTGGATAGACATGGTAAAAAAGCATTTCAGCGTTTCAGAAGTCATGACGGTAATGGAAGCGTTGTTGAAATTGTAACATGTAATTTCTGTGATACCAGTTCCATGACCTTGGCATGTAATTCTTTCAGTCGCACGTGTCATTTGAACCTAAATAAGTCACAAGGTTGTTTCTTTCTTGAGATACTCACGTGATCCCCAAAGGATGATGTCTGCCTGGGCTCCCCAAGCCCTGTGGCCTTTTGATCCTGCTTTGCAGTTCGTTGGTCAGCTCTTTCACCAGAACTGGAACATGCAGTTTTCAAAGTCATAGCAGGTTCATCTTTGACATTTTTCTTTTTCATTAGATCTTTGACCTCTGATACTGTCGCCTGAGACATCTTTTAAAACTGCCCATCTAGGAGATGGGAACTTTCCATGCCCTTCAGCCTCAAAAGCAAATCAAAGTTGGTTCTCTCTCTCTCTCCCCTCTCCCTATCCCCGCCCCCCCCTTTTCATATGTGTTGGGTTGTTTGGGTTCAAATGCAGTACATAGTATAGAATCAAGCTATGAAACAGGGAATCTCTTTTTTTTATCCAAAGTAGACTCAATAGAATGGAAATAAAAATACCTAGGTAGCCTACTTAGCTTTAATTTTTAAAATGTGTGTTTATCTCTTTATATCTCTTTATGTCTATACTTTTTAATATTCTGTTTATTCATGTAGATAGATGGTCAATGCTGTCTCTTTTTCCTTGCATGACTTTAT